CATTTTTTAACTGATGTAGGATCAAATGATTGACAATCTAATAAGGATTTGAAATTTCACCGTCTGTGAGAAATGTAATTTAACCTGACATCATTCTTTGTTAGTAAGTAGCAAATTCTCACTATTTTTCACCAGATGTTCATTTGCATATTTCATTCTCACGAATTCTTAATAATTTCTTGTTTTAAATCATTCCTCAGCTAATCTAACTGCGTCAAGACACGCCCATAAATTCACATCCTGTTTAAGCATTTAAATATCCCAATCAGGGGCCAGACATCATCATTGTTATTTGGCATCTTTACACACAGTCAACTTCAGTTATTGTCGTCAATATATTTATACTATCCAATAAACTACATTTATTGGCATAGTTACCACATTAAATTCAACAGTATCTGAAACAAATATTCTAGACCAAGATTGAAATCAAGAATTCAAGCTTAATTCATCAGATCGAAATCTAAATAAACTATCAATTCTCCTTTCAAGGAAATACAATCCTCTAACCCTCCTCGAAACACATAAAACTTTCACAACAGAAACAGATTACGAATTAACATCCCTCTCATTTTCTCATCATGCTTCTCATAACTAGTGGTTATTCCTTGGAGATTTGTCATAACCGATCATACCAAAGACTCAAACTTGACACGATTGTCATGGTTATATCAAGTTTTTTTTTTCTTAACTAACAGGCTATATCAGCAACAGCTTAACATTCTAATATGGATTAATAAAATCTAACAAATCAAGATACTATGACAAATCTCAACAGATGGCTATTCTGATATAGATGGACATCTGTAACTGACGATAACAACTCTATAAGCAAATGGTTCTTATTCATTAGTTCATTCAATTCCAGGCTAGGTGTATAGGAATAGAGATAGTCCTGATGACTCACTCTTATTGCAAGCCTATAATATCATGGAAAAGTTATACATGCAAACATTACTTAAAGTGACAAAAGGAAACATTTCTAGGAAAAAAGGAATATTTATTCACTGAAAATATATGCATTAATAACAACAAAGAATAGTGGTTATGGGAAGGCTATATTCAATTTCGAGCAATTATGAAGTCGATATATTCAATTTCGTGTAATTATAAGGTCGATGCAAACACAATATGCAAAGCAAATCATGTGAAATGATTAGATCTTAAATCGCACATATCATTTTGAAACAGAAACACGGAAAAGTTACAGCAAACGCATTTCAGCTTAAAAATAAATGTGTATACTGTTTATACCGAATTTCAAGTTTAATCAATATGCAAATTGTAATCAAGCTTGCTAGAAGTAAGTATTCCGTTTCTGTACTACGCAGGCATTTCCACCCTCCCAAACTGTTAGCATAACGTTTGCTTAATGCAAATATATATATATATATATATAATGTATAACAAAGAGATCAAAAACTGAATAAAACAAAACAATAGTTTCCCCATCTAGAAATTATTTACAGAATAGCTAATGAGAAAATTGAAATCAACGATGATTTATTCATAATAGAAAAAAAAATTTCATATTGGACAATAAATTGAATGTTGAGAAAACGTCATAATTACATCACTTCTAGCAAAACTCTTAATGAACCTTGTGCTTCCAGACAATGGCCATCAGCATCAAGTGTAGCCAAGCACAGCTTATTGATATTGCTGATAAACGGATTTGGTAAGTTGCAGGCGTCTACCAAACTTCGGTGAATACTACTATTTCCTCTTGTTTGATCATTTGTACGAGATGAACCTGATGAACTTGGGCACTGACTATCCAAAACTTCCAAACTGTAGTTGCGATTTTGGTGGACATTATACGTATTTACCTTCAAAAATATCAACAAAAGTAAAATCAGAAAGTATACACTATCGGATTATGTTTCAAAAATCTCAAACAAACCGCGAAATTTGGAATCATGTACGTTCATTGATTTTAACTAAAGGATAAAATAAAACGGTTTCACCTGATCACGATTTCAGAACATCATACGGGATATATATGTAATATATTCTGCATTTTTAAATAATGCAGAAGTATGAAATCTTAAGATATAACTACATTATACAAGAATCTTGTAGTTTGTAAAGCTCATTTTACAAGATTATATCAGAATTCATAATTTTACAAATATGGGATCCATACCTCACACTGCTCAGCTGTTACAATCCTCATATTATAATGTGAACTCAAAAAACTGTAATAACTTGTCAACTAATACTTTTGCTTCAATTAATCGACACTTTTTTGAACAACAAACCTTATAAATTTCACTTACTGAAATGTTAGTTATATGTGCTTTGTCACCCGGACTGCTATTACCCGATAACGTCCCCTCAAAATCTAGCGACTTCTCCTCTGCTTTTTTTGTCTTTCGGCAATTATTATGGTTTAAATTTAGCATTCCACTATCACCATTTCGTTCTAGCAGTTTGGTTAAAGAATTTATGAGTGCTTCAATCATGATAGCTTCTTTGCTGAACACCTAGAAAAATCAAAAATATCTCATAAAAATGAAAAAAAAAGCAAAAATGGTAACACTTCTGTTTTTCAAGGAAGAATGTAGTTTAGCAAAGTGACAAATCAAATCAGAAATCATAAAAAATTAGTCTACAGACCAATTTTGAAAAGTCAGATTAACAGAAAACTGAACTGCGTGTGGAAAAATCGAAAGAAAAAAAAATTAAAATTACTTGATGCTATATAAATGTTATACCTGAAGCATCTTCATTTTTTCCGAAAATTTTAACACTTCGGTTTCAGAATTTAAACTGCGATTGATTATAAATGAAGTATCCGGAAAAGTCAAGAGTAACCACGGGCATTCAGATAAACCGGCTACTGATACAGCAACTTCGAAACGACTGAAAATTATGATTGAAATTTTGTGAAATTTCATCACAATAATATAAATATATGCAACAGAAGAATTAAAAAAGATTGGTAATTGTAATAATAATATGATGAGAATAATGAACAAATATGAGCCATATACGAAGATAACCAGTAGAAAAATTGCAATACGATTGAGACTAAATTTTACTCATCTAATATCAAGAAATCCAAAACTGAGCAATGAACTACAAAAATTCTACTTAAAAAGAAAAATTTTCGAGAAATTATGTCACTATCACGAGTAAACGATTAAGTAACGCCACTAAGATTCAAAAATAAGCAAAAGAATTTAAGAAAACTAACTCATCAAAACAGCGGCAATCACAGTCAAGAAGTCGCTGCACGAGCAGAATTTCATGTTTTGCTTCATCAATCAATGTAACGTATCCACAGCTGATTCCAATGAGAACCTGAAATAAAAAATCTACACTACCATGAATTTTAAAAATGAGTAAAACTTCCGCATAATTTTAGAAATAGCGTACATTTCATCATATGTAAATTACTAACGTTCAATTCGGTCAATTCTAACAGGCAATAATAGAAAAGCAAGGTGAAAAAATTTCAAGTTTGGAATCAAATCCTCAAAAGAAACCGAAATCAAAAATAATGTGCATAAATGATGAACAATACCGGAATATCTGGTAACGTCGTCGAAAGTATCATTTTCTTGATTTCTTTCAACGGGCCTCCTAATGGTCGTTCAACGTATCCGCGGAAGAAAGCAGCTCTAAAGATATTAAAATCAATAAAATAAAAATACTGATCAGAAATTTCAACTGGAACTGAGTTCATTCATGTGTATCGCGCATTCCACTTACTCAGTCGGTAACTTATCAATCATTTGCGAGCACTGTTTTCTTTGAAGCACGCATATGAGTTGATTACTCAAATTATATTGTTTTATATCAAATATTAACCATAAAAAAATAATTATTTCAACCAGAACCAATTTTAGGAAATAAAAATATGAACTTGCCCATAAAAAGGTATATTGCGGGTAATATTGAGATATGTCTTTCGATAGTTGTGCTTGCTCTCAAAATTCAATCTTATATTTTCATATTCTTCAAGAACTCGTGTTTCCAAACCCTTGCAACCAATAATCGGAATACCAAATAAATGAAATGTCCTGACATTACGCCGATATTTTAGCGGGAAAAACATTTCTATTTCTTCTCTGCAAAATCATTTCCCTTATTGTAACCAAAAATAAATTCATTAATTGCACAGATTCCAAATATAAGTTTTTAGTCACAATCGAAATCAAGATATAAGTATCTTCCTCTTTCGACTTAAAATTCCATAAAATTGCCGTATTTTTCCAAAATTCCGAAATTATGATTGACAAGTCACAAACCCAAATACATCCGGCAAATCAAAATCTTCATTCGGTTCTAAATCGATGGCCATCTGTAAGGCAGCCAATTTTATGTTCAATTCGATATCACATACATATCGACCATTTAAAATTTCCTGCTTTGCACTTCTGTACAATATCTCCGTTAATATTTCATTCGTATAATCTTGCTCCAACTGAAGAGTTTGTACTTTAATTTGACATAGTAACGATTTTGGAATACTTAGTCATCGATTCGCGCAATAAATTAATCTAATATTTCTCTTCCGCCCCTTCTAATCTTTAAGTCGACTTATTTTGCAGTTTCTAACACTTTCATCTTCGATGATTTTTCCTATTAATGTTCATCAGCATAACATAAATTTTAAGCAAGCTTTACTTCATGCTCTCGTTCAACGGAAAGTTGTACATTTCGTTTCAATACAAGAAGCGGCTCGTCAGCAACTAATTCACTACTTTCAGCATTCGTAAATCTATGTAGAAATTGTACCCAGTTTTTCCGGATCTCATATGGATTATGATGTGGCTTCAGCTGCACTTCTGTAAAACTGAATTATGAGAATTATAAAACTAGTTTTCAAATATAAAAATAAAAAACATATGAGAAAAAAAATAGAATTACTACTTAAATACAAGTTTCAGTATACCTAACAAATTTGATACCATCCAGAGAGCGCATACTTCATTGAAAACTTCAGAAATAACACCCAGATGATCAGCGAGTAATAAGAGCAAGCTTGATACTGTTGCCAATTTACCACCAACTAGAGAAAATTTGAGACCTGTAATAAAAAAAAGCTGATCAATTGTGCTTAATCTAGAGAGATCAAACAGAAAGTAAGAGAAACTGGCCATGTGCTTGCTAGAATATTCTTGAAAAATTATACAAGAAACTGTGACACTTGTACATGAAAGAATGAAAATCAACCATTATCTGAACTTAAAATCATTAAGTAATGATAGGACGTGTGAAATTTCATTGCGACTCCATTAAAGAAAACCTAACAAGTAACAACAAAAGAGAATAGGATAAGTATATATAGAGTAAACATATAGAGATAAGTATATATAGAGTAAAACAAGTAACAACAAAAGAGAGTAAGTATATATATAT